CATAAATCAGTTAAATGACGAAAAATTAGGTGTCTATTTACTTGTGACCACTCAGTATACATTGATATCTGCCAGGTTGTAAAAAGCATATCTGTAAGAGTGCTGATTCAGGACTTGCCACTAGAGTAAAAAGGGAGCTTTTATAAAGATGTCTATGCAGGAGAAGGACAACAAGAGTTATACTGCACTTTCAAACCAGGCACAGTGGAGAAAATTCCTAAATCCTACAGTGTATACTTGTATCATTGTCTCCTCTTGAGATAAGCTTGTCCCACCTGGTTAAAGATATAATCTGTACTAGTTACATAAGGGTGAATTAGTAACTATTTGTCTTTCAGCTGTGCTCCTTCTCATCTCTGGGTCAAAGCCACAAATAGCATAACAGTTGGTTACATATGCATTACGCTATAAATGAAATTAAAACTGGATACAAGTATAATCATAATGTAATCATATAAAATTCAAACATTACAAATCTAAATTGGAAGCACAAAGTAAAAGACATTTCAAATGAACACAGAATACAAACATATTGAACTCACAGAAATAATCACTAATTAAAAAAGCATTTCATGTTAATTGAACAGTATATGAATGTTTACAATACTGATGCAGTTATGGGTTGGAGAGGTATCTGTTCATTTCTACCTGATGTGGTGGTGGTCTCAGAATTCAGATCCTGGTTTACAATCACGTATTGACTGTAGTAGATGCATCAACAGTTGATAAAGTTAGACTTGAATGACATGTCATTGACTGCCACCTACATTGTTGCTTCGTACTATTTACAGGCATTTCTAATATTTTGGACTGAAGTTTGTTGTGTGGTTGACTGTAGTCCATTCATGAGTTCAGTAGATTTTCAGGTAATTCCAAGGTTAGTGGCTTCATCAGCATGTTAGGTTTAAAAGCTACAAATCAATTCGCAATAGGTGAGAAGTTCAGCTAGAAATGTGAGGTTAAACGTTATGATCAATCAGGCCACGACCCAACCCTGTTTTATGAAAAGTTATCCCGTTTGGATGTATCAGTGTACTGTGCCTTAGATCATTCATGGTGGATACATTCCAAATTATGATGTAAGAACAATTTCACGCATACAATAGTGAGTATGCTAGCTTACATGGAAGAGCTCACGTGTTATCTTAGCTAGACACCTAGTGACTTCAGCTAACTCATGTATGAGTTCTTCTACCATTGGATGATACAGAGTTCAAATCCATTGGGGAAGGAGGGTAACACTGTCTCTTTATAATGTTAACCTGCTTTCTGAGACATGTCAGAAACGATTTGTATAAACAAGTAAAATAATATTTGATTTGACGAATAAATATAAAATTATATACATGCACAAATTATAACTAAACGTAGTTAACACAAAGTTCGTGGCCTGCCATGGCCAGGTGGTTAGGGTGCATGACTCGCAACTTGAGGGTCGTGGGTTCGAATCTCCGTCCCACCAAACATGCTCGCCCTTTCAGCCGTGGGGTATTATAATGTGATGGTCAATTCCACTATTCACTGGTAAAAGAGTAGCCTAAGATTTGGGGGGGG